AAAGATGAGTTCCGAAGCGAGAAAAAGCAGAGAATACCTGCGGACAGGTTCGTCCGGCTCATCAGCATGTGTGGTCCGAATGTAATGTGTGCTGAGGTTCAGAATGATTCTCAAAGATCGATTTCTATGTGGAAAGGTTTTCAACCATCTTGCTACTTTGGCCCCAAATTAGCATAGATTTCTTAACAACCACGTTGGTAGGCGGGACAGAAAGTACCTTCTGGAACAATTTTCTCGCTTCGGAAATCATCTTTTCAAGCGAGTTTTGAGCCAAATGGCCCCGCTATTGTACCACATTCGAATCTCAACCCCCTTATTTGGGTGGCGGGTACCCTGAAGCAGATATCTCGTGATGCTCCTAGAAGCTTATTTCCTAACGTCATTCATTCACCTTACGTGAAACTTAAGTGCCCGGCGTTCCTGGAGTGGACGGATTCGATGGAGATGATGACAGCACTTTGAGACTACATTATTCGGATGCATGCGCAATATGCCCTGCTGGACCTCGCGGACCACCAGGTCCACCAGGACCACCAGGAGACATAGGTCCAAAAGGTCTTCCCGGTACACCTGGTTTAGATGGTGCCCCAGGTATACAAGGTCCAAAAGGACCCGAAGGTGACAGAGGTTTCCCAGGTAGATGAAAATTTCCTATTTGAATTGCGAAACTAACCCTTTAAATTAGGACAACGTGGACCACCTGGTCCACCGGGATTACCTGGACAAAGAGGCGAAACATACACTCAAGTACCTGGACCGCCTGGTCCACCTGGTCCAATAGGAGAACCAGGCGAGATGGGCGAAACTGGCTTGCCCGGAACGCCAGGGCTACCAGGATTTCCAGGACCGCAGGGACTACGGGGAGTAATCGGAAGCCGAGGAGTGGATGGTAATCCTGGTCCGGTAAGTTGAAATCAAGCTTTACATCACGACAAAGTATACAGTAACAATTTTTTTCAGCCAGGAGATCCTGGTTTCAATGACGATGGCTACTGCCCTTGCGATGAAGGAAACAGAGACGAATACAAAAAAGCTAATGGCGTTTCGAAAC